AAACCCTTAAACCCAAATCCTCAACCCTAAACCCTCAAACCCTAACCCTAAACCCTATAAACCCTTAAACCCAAATCCTCAACCCTAAACCCTTAAACCCTAACCCTAAACCCTATAAACCCGTAAACCCAAACCCCCCACCCCAAACCCCTAAACCCTGTATAACCCATTATAGTAGTTTCCATTTTCTTTTTCATTATCCCTATAATCCCAATATAATCCCTATATAATCCCTATAGAGTCCCTAATATACCCTAAACCAACCCCAAACCCCTAAACCCACATCCCCAGTCAAAGCAATGCGAGGCCGGGACTTTGGGGTCCCCGGAAGCGGCGCATGCCAACGGGAGATGCGTACGGAGAGTCTTCCACGCAGACCGCAGATCTTCCTTTCCAAAAAGAAGAGGAAGAGATTTAGGGGTTTAAGGTTTTAGGGGTTTAGGGTTTAGGTGTTTAGGGTTCAGGATTTTGGGTTTAAGGTTTTAGGGTTTAGGTTTTTCGGGGGGTTCTAGGGTTTAGGACTTGAGGATCTGGGGTTTAGAGCTCAGTGTTGAAGGTCTTCTTTGTAGCATAGTGTTTGGGAATATTTTCGTCCCCAATACAGAATCGGATTATATGTTCCGCCTGGGTATAGCATTTCTCAAGAAGAATGCATCCTTACTTTGTTGAGCCACCATGCACTGCTCAAGTGAGTTAAGGGTTTTGGTGCTTCTGAGAATAGGGGAGCCCTTAGGGACCCTAGGGTTAGCCAGCGATTGTAATCCCCATTGGCAGTAGCTTTTGAGAGAAAAGCCCGAATGAGTTTAGGGCCTGTGTTTTGCGCTTAGCACACAGTATTAACTGAAGTGAGTCGTCCAGCTACAAGATTGCACATCAGTGAAGTGTCCAGGTATGCGTCGCCAATGAAGTGATAAGAATGCGAAACCTCGAGCTTTACGTTTCCTCCTGGTTCACAATGGGAGCCCCCCAAACCCTAAACCCTAAACCCTATATTATGCCTGACGGAAGCCTCGGGGGCTGAGCCAAACATGAAACAAAGTCCTGGAGCCCAACTTCCCAAAACTTAGAAACTCACCAAAGCACAAACACCGGACCCGGAAAACCTGATCCTAAAGACACTATAGGACATAGGGGCTATGTTGGGGCTACAATGGGGGACAAGAAAAGGGAAACTACTCTATCACAGTAGGGTATATGTTGGGTCATAACATGGTCTATGTTGGGGTTATAGCCCGACTTCAGCTAGCTTTCTACTTGCTGGTTTAGACTGGATCCAAATAATTAACACTCCTGTACAACCCCCCTATGTCGTCCTAAAACACCTAGGCTAAAAAAACTTTAGCCTTCAGCTTTATACCCGAATCCCTAAGCCCTCAACCTGATCCGTAAACCCTAAACCCTGATCCTAAACCCTAAGCCCTAAACCCTGACCCCTAAGCCCTGATCCCTCAACCCTAAACCCTCAACCCTGATCCCTAAACCCTCAACCCCCTAGCCTTGCTAACGATGCCATGCCCCCAGAGCCATGGGCGCAAAGTTCGCCTCGCCTGGCTCGGCATCGCCTTGGCGCAGACGCCTCCGCCGACGCATCCAACGCTGCCGGAGTTTCAGCAGCTTGGCACTGCGCGTTAGTTAAGAACATGGAAACTAGTATACTATCTATACTACTATACTGCTTAGGGTTCAGGATTTAGGGTTATAGTTTATATTATTTACTACTATACTATTTAGGGTTCAGCGTTTAGGGTTTGGGGTCAGGGGGGCTTACTTGAGTAGGTTTTTGATAAGGGGCATAACCAGGGTTACCGTATGGGTTCTGGGGTTTCGAACCGACTTACTAAGGCCTCGTGATCCTCCAAGTAGGAATATCCAGTGAAGGTCTAGGGTCTACCTGAACCCCAAAAAATATGTAGAAATGATAGCCCAAAACACGTAAATATAGCCCAAAAGGCCATTATTCTACATACTTTTGAGGTTCAGGTAGTTAGGTCTGGTGCAAATTGGGCGTTGGAAGGGAAGGTGATGCTACCTGGCACCGCAGTAAAGGCGGAGTTCAGGACATATCCTTCGCAGCCTAGCCTGACTTCTATGATGTAGGGTTTAGGGTCTAGGGTCTAGGGTCTAGGCTTTAGGGGTTGGAGGTTTAGGCCTTTAGGGTTTAGGGTATGGTACAGGGTCGAATGATTTTCGAGATTTGGTTGAGAGTTCTAAGTTGACAGTTACACATAGTTACACAGTTAAGGAAGTTTTGCAAGGCGGAATAACGGGGTTTGGTTTTCTGGCACGTGATGCATTTGTACGGAGAGGTGGCTGCATTTGATCGTAAGAGGATTCTGCTAGCCTAGAAGAGTCATGGGATAGTCAGTCAGAGGGTTGTAATTGTAGGTGTTTGCGTCCCCAACATTCTCTGATACTGTATAAATCCTGCCTAGACAAGCCCAGATATCCCTTGTTCAGCACAATTCATTTTAAGGGTGGCTGTATTCCGTTTAGGTTACCGACGGATTCTTGCTGTTTGTGTCAAGTGAGGTTCTTGGTGCTTCTAGCCAGCCTCGGGCTGTAAGTTTGCCGTTCTGTTTAGGGTTTCGGGACCAACATGGACGCGGAAAAGGGGCCCAACAGAAGCGCCCCATGCCCAAAAGCAATGCTATCATGATCTTGAGTTGGTTTTATGATGTTGTGCCGTGTGTTGCCTTGTGATTCCCTGAAGTAGTCGGATCCTTGCTCCAAAGATCCAACAAGGCTTCAGAATATCCTGCTTCGTCAAGGAGGAGCCCCTGAAAGTCCCCCAAGATCCAGCCAATGATCCTAAATGGGTGGTTCGAAGACATTGGCGGTTTCGGGATTAGGGTGTAGGGAAAAAGCAAGTGACCAGGTGGGAAGTAGGGAAACAAGGAGTGGTTCCATCATGCATTCTTCTCCCCCATTCCTTATTAGCTGCACCTGCGAGGCAGGCATGTAAATATGAAGATTGTCTTGGGCTTGCAAAGCTCCTTCCCATGTGAAACGTGAACAAGGATCCGTAGGTTTGGGTGGTCCTTGGGTCCTTAGCAATGTTGGTAGCTAGATCCCAACCCCCAAACCTTGCGGATGATATGGGTTGCTGTGGCAGTGCTTAGGAGTTTTCGAGGTTTATGGGCAGATCGTGTGGTTCAGGGTTGGGGCTTCATAGTTAAGCGCGGGGACAGAGGCAGTCCCGAGGGGGCTAGCCGCCCTTTGCGACACGAACCTTAACATAGGCCATCATAAAGCCAAGAAACCACCATCTCTGCACGTAGGACGAGAAGATCAGATATTGCCCAAAAAACCTAAACCCTGTTCTGTTCTGAGTTTGCATTAAGCAAATAGGTGGTTGTAGCAGGGAGTGGGAGAAGGGCCTATAGGGATTCTTACGCGGGATTTCATGCGGACTACTACAGGGATGCATTTCTGCATTTCCTGTGTTTCCCTTTATCGTTTTTTTTTTTGTATTTGGGTTTCCACGGTTTCCAGTTTGAGGTTCAGGTTCCGAGGGTTCGGTTGG